GTTCTAATAGCTACCACACGTACAAATGTTCTGGGTCTGCAAGTGTATTTCTGGTATAAAAATATCTCCATGTTTCACACAAGAGCTAAGTGACGAAGCCAACAAATTAAGTTTAAAAGGAAATTATTTCAGGACACTAATTGTGCCTTATTGCATTCTGCTTCCCCCCAATTCCCTTTTACACACAGACCACATTGCCAGAAATATATTTGTTGGGAAAATGTCCTTTTTCTCCTTGCCATCTTTATTCCAATAAACCACAGCATCTTTGATGCAATACAAATGATATGCTGAGTTTGTCTAAATGTATGGTATCAAAAATACTGAGTGGATGAGTTACATTACACTCCACTTGTGACTTTCAAATGTGCTTTTCGGCATATTATTCTACTACAGATACATTGTTGGAACTCAGCCACTCAATGCAACATGCACAAGATAAAACTCTAAAGGCAATTGACGTTCACTTGAGTATAATTGTGACTTGATTTTAATACCTACTATTCAACCTACCAATGGACAAAGAGTGCACTTTATTTACACCAGCACTATCACAGCTATCCATGTTGGGCAATGTCACCAAATGTTATCAATTTGATATTTGGTTTTAGGTGCTAAAGGCACCTACATTTCTATTTGGTGTATCATCTTCAGTTCCTCAACCCCCTCCTCTCTCCCCTTTAACACAGCCATGTCTAGGGGGCTGTCCATCATTTAGGTAACTAATTTTTCAGTGATTTCCAAGATCCACCTACCCTTGCAACACTTTGTAACACTGAGACGAACACTCAAAAGTAAGGACTCATCCACCCCTAATGAGTTACGTGGTTTATGGGCAGCCCCTAACTGTGAAGCACTGATCCTCCCCCCTCCCTACCTAGCCAAGGCCCTATTACAAGTATTTCCCTAAGCCTCCCACAATTTTGCCCTACCCCTGGAAAACACCCTCCTGGCAGCCAATTCCCTGCCTCTGTCCCTCCCAGTGTCCCCATTTCTCTCTAACTCCATGAAGGTTCAAACTCTTATTCTGACAGTATTCATTCCAGGACAAGCCTTCCTTCCCAGTTTGACAGTCAAAACAACTGGCATTGGTGAAGCAAATCAAGTGGGTATCTTGTGCTGGGGGACTTGTTCCAGGCAATAGTCTCAAACCTGTTCCTGATTCCCCCATACCAGAAACTCTGCACAGCCTCCCAGCACTACAGCCCCCTAAGGGTATGTTTACACTACAATGAAAAACCCACAGCTGGCCTGTGCCAGGCGACTCAGGCTCAGGCTGCTCAGGCTGTGGGGCTGCTTCATTAATTACAGTGTGCACTTCCGGGCTCAGGCTGGAGTCCGGACTCTCGGACCCTGTGAGGTGGGAGGGTCCCAGAGCTTGAGCCCAGCCTGAGCCCAGAAGTGCACATTGCAATGAAGCAGCCCCATAGCCTGAGCCATGCAATCCTGAGTCGGCTGGCACGGGCCAGGAGCAGGTATCTAGTTGCTGTGTAGACATACACTTAGTAACCCCACAAGCCTTAAAAATCTGGCATTTCTAAAAGTGGAACTGGTTAAGTAGCTAAGGGTACAAGCCGAGATCAGCAATAAAGCAAAGATCAGAATTCAGTGCGTGTGGATATGGAGATGTAAACCTGGCCAATTGTGCATGTACGCTAGCACACAAAAGTGCACACAGGCTCCTGAAAGTATGGCACCGAAACGCATTTCCTTGACTACATAAGAAATTATTGGGGAGTGAGTTATTTTTTAATTCTCTTACAGTGATGTCAACTACAGTAGAGTGGACTAAACACCTTTAAGCACCTCTGGTTTGTATGTTAAGCCAACCTTTTAACAATGAATTCTTACTGTTTCCAGGAGACTGTCCTCACAGACAATGTATATTGGGCCAAATGAGCATCCCTGCACCATGGATACTTTGGGGTCGGCAACCTTCGGCATGCGGCCCATCAGGGTAATCCGCTAGCAGGCCGTGAGACATTTTGTTTACGTTGACTGGCCGCAGGCACAGCCGCCCCGCAGCTCCCAGTGACTGCGGTTTGCTGTTCCTGGCCAATGGGAGCTGCGGGAAGCGGTGGCCAGCACATCCCCCTCCCCCGCACATTCTTTTGTATGTAACTCCAGTCACTAAGTAAAATTCTGGAGAAAGATTACCCAAGACCCGCAACAAGTCCTCCAGAAAAACACAGAATTTAATTTCCTGATACTTGCAAAGTAAAAGGCAGGGGGGAAAACCGGGGAACACCCCCTGCCGCCAACAAAAGAACATCAAAAAGTATTTGGCCCTTCTTTATAAAAGCAAAAGAGGGGTCTAAGCCCAGCCCCCTTTCTTCCCCAAACATACTCTTTGGCGGGTCACTTATTTTTAACCTTTCTGATTGTCTTAATGTACAACAATTTGGAGCCATTTCTTGTCAAGTGAAACATGAAGCGATCAGAAATCTCATCAATGGTCACTTTCTTTAAATTTGCTCCCAACAGCTGCTTTGAGAGCTCCTGTAGCAATTGCTTTAAGCATGTAATTTCAGGGCACTTACTCTGCTACAGTCAAAAGTTAAAGACTTGGCAACGCCATGCCAGAAAAGTGTCTGACTTAACTTTTAGAAGTATTTTGTTTCATTCTCCTGAGGCTTGGAGTCTGAGGTCCTATTGGGATCCAGGAAGTGGGCGGGCGGAAACCCGCCCACTGCTAAAGGACCTCCCCCCAGCCTAAGGGGAGGATCCACAGGACCTGGAAGCCAAATGATTCCGGGGGACAACTAATGAGATAACAGGGACAGGAGTGAGGTCAACTGGGCACCATCAGCTGCCCTTGAAGTCAATGAAACTAAGAATGCGCAGCATCTCACAACTTAGCACCCTGCAAGATCAGACCTGTAGTGCTGAATCTCTGATCCTTAGCCACTTACCCTCAGTCTTATGAGCTTCCTATTTCCCCTAGAGAATGAGTCCCTGTTACATTTGGCTAACAGTTTTCTGAAGTAGCCACTGTAATTAATTGTGGAAATAAAATGCACTCTGGCCTTGTTTCTTAATTAGGAATGCAGGTAAACATAAAGGGCCAGACTGAGGAAAATAGCCCTGGTTTCTGGACATTATGCACCCAGGATTTGAAAGCCACATGCTTGGAAGTGTAAGCAGTTACCTGTCGTAAAGAAAAAGCCCTTTTCCCTCTTGACAGTTCTGACACGGCTACTGAATTAAATATGGATACACTCTACTCCTATAAGTCTTACCCGCCTCTCTGAAATCAAAAAATCAGATTAGCTCCTCTACAGTTTAAGTTTATATATAAAAATTTGGGTGCAAAAAGCACAACAAAATATCATGAATGCAAAATTCTAAAATGACACTTTAAAAAGAAACAAAACTTTGATACAGTTGAACTGAGCTTCATTGATATATATATATATATATATATATGCATATATAAATACAAATCAACATTTGTATACACTTAAAATACTTTTACTCAGTATCAGTTTTTATTTAAAAACATGCTAAAAATGTGTAGTTAAATAATCAAAGCAATGTTTTGGAAAAATGCACAGACAGCCATCCACCAATGCAAGCAAAAAAGTGCATTTTTAAACAAGATTGATATCCCTTTCACTAAACAGTCAAAGGACAATTAGTATCTTCTCTGATATATACCAACAAATACAATCTAATGCTTTTTTTATGGCTGGCTTTTGTCACCTTAAGAACAGTATTGCTTTTTCTTTGTTTTCAAAACACAGGTTTTCCCGTTATATGGTTTGATATTCAGCTACAGTACTATAATGCTAATTGTTTACTTAATTTGCTTAATTCCCTTTCCGTAGTCAGCTAAAGTGAGACTTGACAATACTGTTTGTGTAATTAACTCTGTTAATACTGTACTTAAAATGCTAAAAGAATTCATGAAAAAAGAATTTTCAATATCTATCTTGCTATCAGGTCATAAAACATAACTGAGCATTCTACAAAAAATAAGTTTTAAGGGAAGGCAAAATAGTTTTAGTTTTCCACTATGTATTTTGCCTTCATTGTTACTTGTATAATTTCATTTTTTTTTTTTTTTTTTTTTTTTTTTTTTTTTACAAAAACCAACCACAGATTAAAATGTAAGATTTCAACAGGTACCACTGTGCGACTTTAGAAGGATTAGCATCCTGGTCTTGCTTATTTTTCCACCCTTCTATGTTTGTCTGAGAGAGAAAACATTGGTATTTTACAAGAGAAAGCAAAATAACCCCACCATAATAGATAAAGAAGTAGAGCTATGGATTAAAGATATACATTTTTTAAAATGCAAAAATTCAAAACTTGTCATTTTTTGGAAACTTTGGAGACTATCTTACACATAGCAGCAAATATGCTCAGTGCCAGAGCTCCCATTCTTGACACAGAGTGTCTCAAACGGAGCTCAGACGCACATGGTCCCAATTTTTGTTACAATTAAAGTAAACCAGGTTTTGTCTATATTTTCCCCCTCCTCGTTCCTCAAGTCTTTAAAAGGAAATATGAATGAAGCAGCAGTCACCAATATGGCCAGTGGAAGAATAACTAAAGGGTATACGCAACCAAACAGCTATTTAGGAAGGACGGATTGTATTATCCTGCACCAATAATATGTGCATTATACCCAACTTTTTCAACCTTGAGGGCCTAAAGTTAGGAACCTAATTCTACATTCTAGGCATGTAAATATGTGACCTGATTTTCAAGGAGCCTGAGCCCCTGCAGTGCCACTGACTTCTATGCAAACTGTAGGTAGGTGCTCAACCACTCTGAGGCCTGGTCTACACTACCCCCCCACTTTGGATTAAGGTACGCAAATTCAGCTACGTTAATAATGTAGCTGAATTCGAAGTACCTTAGTCCGAACTTACCACGGGTCCAGACGCGGCAGGAAGGCTCCCCCGTCGATGCCGTGTACTCCGCTCGCCGAGCTGGAGTACCGGCGTCGACGGCGAGCACTTCCGGGATCGATCCGGGGCACTTCCGGGATCGATCCCAGAACATCGATTGCCTGCCGCCGGACCCTCCGGTAAGTGTAGACGTACCCTGAAAGTTATCTAAAGAAGTGACCTGCCTAAATATCAATTTAGATGCCTATTGGTAGGCAGCCAAGTTTGAAAATGCTGGACTAGATTCTCAGGGCCTGATTGTCACTTACATTAATGCCCCTTTACATCACTCTATGTAAAGGGGCCTTAAAGTTGGCATAAAGTACATTTCCACTCACTTCAAGGCCCCTTTACACTGCCGGAGAGGAGTAAAGGTGCTTCGGGTAAACGAGAATAAGGACCTCAAATTTGTAAGCATCACTGCACTACTTTGATAGCAGGTGATAAACATCTGTCCACTTTGACAGCTATCTGGGCCCAGCAGGTAATAAATTAGCTTTAAAATGTATTTTAAAATTACCACTAAGTTTTATAGTAAACTTCTGACTAAAATAAAACCAGAGTGTCCACAAAATGACTGAAGTTTCATTTTCATTCATCCTTTCCTTCGTGAAGCAGCAAAATGTAAGAAAGACCTCTGCCAAAAAAAATATAACAAAAAAAGTCAAGCAGGGGCCACTATGAAAGAAGCAGCATTCAAACTAGAGAGGAATATGTTCAAGTTTTCTAGCAGGAATGTCGGTAGAAATGTGTGTTGTAATGAGTTCTGAACTACCATGTATATATCTGACTTGGAAAACAGAAGACAAAAGTCAACACTGTATGTGCAAAGATACAAACAGGTTCTGAGCACCTATCTGGCAACTGATTTCAGAGTGAAAACGTAAATCACGCCTTTCCCGCTCTCTTGGGACATACGGCACACCATTCCCCCACTTGCCTTTAACCAGCTTTATACCTTCGTGGTTGTTCAAGAGCTACCTCGCCAGCCTGGCAAAATTGCAACCATTGTCAAGTAAACACCTTTCAGGAAAACTGACAATGAGCCAGTTGTGCTCCCCTTATGTTGTACAGCACCGTGCACGATAAGCCATCCCATTGAAATCAATGGGACTACTTAGGGAGTAAACTATTACTCAATGGGCCAGAGAGTAAGCCCCTTCCTGGTGCTGGTGAGCAGTTACTCACGTGATACACTTACTCACACTGAATAGTATCATGCTGAAAGTAGTCCCATTTAATGGGCCTACCTGAGGAGTAAGGCGCTACTCATTGTGGATAAAGGCATCACAATCTAGCCCATCGAGAGTAAGGGGTTCACCATTCAGCCCAGTGAGAGTAAGGGCAACCCAATCTGGCCCTAAAGTACTGAGCCACCTCACTGAAAGGACTGTCATCAATATAGTAAGGGTACAAACCCACGGTAGCTCAGAAGATGCAGTTAAATGTAGTCTCCCTAGGGACTTTAGAACAGTCATGTCTTTATTTCCACCTTTTAAACTAATGATAAAAATGTGTCCTTCAAAGATCGCACAGTGGTTCCTGGATTAAAATAGGACAGATGTAAAACAAAACCGTAAGAAGTTACAAATCAGGCTACTAAATTCTAAGCTATCTCCATCATAAAAAAAGTATACACCGTAAGGTACAAAAAGCTGCAAGTGAGCAGCTCTGATTCCTAGGGCTCTCAGTCTGAGTGGCTTTCCCACGTCTTCTAGTACGTCAGACAGGAGCAGTTTGAGACTTATCAGAAGACTTCAAAGAATTCTCTCTAGAAGTTAAACACATATCTGTCACATTATCCTTGCATGTCTAACAACAATTAGTAGAGCAAAGCATTTTCTTAAATAAAGTTAGGGAAAAGTTTAATAGATCTATGAATTAGTGTAGAAAATGGATTTGTTTTTATTCTTTTTCTTCTTTGGCAAATAAATGGCAAATGCAAAACAGAAACAAAAAAGTAAGTCAAGTAGCAAGTTGTGCTAGTAATCAGTCAAGTAATGATGACGTAGATTGATCGGTGGGATGAATGCCTTCAGCAGAGCAAAGCTTGATTTTTCTTTTCGGTTGTTTTGCTTTGTTTTTAATGGCAAGACAGAAGTGTAGATGCAGTTAACATTTTGAAGATTTAGGCATCATATTTTTTACCAGTCCTATGAATCTGCTGGAAGAGTGTCATGGAGAAGGCCATGCCAAGTATCTGAAAAAAAGCAAATATTATGGGATAGCTATAGTAACACCTTCAAAACTGTGCTCATGGTATTTTATCTGAGGGTGCCTGAATTTTCTGACACCCAACACTAATAAAATTCCTCCTGAATCATAAGGCCTGACTCATTTTTTTATTTGAGCCTGTTTGGTCACTTCTGAATTACTCTTTTTCCATAAGACTGACAAGTACAGGGGTTGTCATAAAAAGTCCATATTTGCAACAGATTACACAGTTACCAAAGGGCCAAGTACTGCAAATCATACAATGGGTTTGCACACAGGGTAGCTGATGATCAAATTTGGTCTAAAGTTATATGCTATAAAGTGTAAGGGAAAAATCATGCCATCTCAGATAGCACATTGTGGTTTAAATGAAGGCAATTGCTGGTTTGATTTAAGTGTCAACCACTGCAGTAGTGATAATGCAACAAAACACTGAACTGTCATCTAGAATACTTCAACTCAACTACCTGTTCTTATTTGTGAAGACTAGGAAAGCTGGCCTATCTGATGGGGTTGCGAGGCTTTGTTCCTTGATATCTGAGGTTACTCTAAGCATTTCCCACCTTAAGTCACAAAATATTGTGACCCTCCTTGGATCTCTAGCAAGGTGCTCAAAAGTTTTGATAGCTCTGATAACACCTAACCATTGTAAGAGTCATGAAAGAAACTGAAATAGTTTCCAAAATCTTCTTTGTCACACAAGGTGCCATGAAGGCACAAAACTGCTGGCCTTTTAAAAGTATGTCTCTCATTCTTCAGTTACCAGACAATCGGGTAGAGCAGGCAGGTTGTTGCTTTTTTCCAAAGTTACCCTAAAAACCTACTGAAGTTAATGAAGTTAATGGTCTCTTTTTTAAACTAGCCTGTACAACTCAATCACCATAATTTCATTCTATATTCTATAACATGGTTTTATGGCTATAAAAAGCAGATTAACTCTCTAATTCAATTCTATAGGACTTTTCCCCTATGTGTTTAAGTAAAATAAACATTTTTAAAGTATGCTAATTTCACAAGCAGCAGACATGAGTGAATCTCTATGGATGGCCACCATTGTGAATTCAGTGTTCTTCACTGCCACTTACAAGTGAGCCTTGAATGTCAACATGCACATAACTAGAACATCACCGGATATCATCATTTTCAAAACAGAGACAAAGTAACCTGTCCTTTAGAGACAGGTAAGCAGCCCTATTTGGCTTAAAGCTTGGAAAAGAAATCTGAATTGCTATGAAAATTAGGTCACTTAGAAGCAGCTGGACCAATTTTGTCCTCAAAACATAGGAAAAATATTTTGTCCAAGTTTAAGACCAAATATGGGTCGTATGCAGTTATCCCGCCATCTAGGGCCTGGTCTACACTAACCCCCCAAGTCGAAGTAAGGTACGCAACTTCAGCTACGTGAATAACGTAGCTGAAGTCGACATACCTTACTTCGAACTTACCGCGGTTCAGACGCGGTCCACACGCGGCAGGCAGGCTCCCCCGTCGACTCCGCTGTACTCCTCTCGTTGAGCTGGAGTACCGCAGTCGACAGCGAGCACTTCCTGGTTTGATTTATCGCGTCCAGACCAGACGCGATAAATCGAACCAGGAAGTTCGATTTCCAGCCGCCGAACTAGCGGCTAAGTATAGACCAGCCCTAGGTCTTTTTATGGTATCTGAGTGCCAACTGGGTCAAAAGTAGGAGGGCTGGAAACCAGAGTTAATCATGCAGTGTCATCTTAACAGCACTAACAGTGGTGTTATAATAATTAGTTTGCATCTGAAAGCACGAGTTCTGCCAGAGGAACAATTATAGCTATTCATGCCCTTAATGGCGGAGTCCATGAAAGGATGAAAAATGCCAGTTCTCACTATTCCCCAAAATCAAAATATATAATTTGATTCAACAAAATGAAGAATTAGGGATAGTTCCTGATTTCATCTAACAGGAAGGATAAATCCTCTGAAACTCCAGGGTCCAGCAAAACTGTAAGCTAAGTTCCAGATTCTAAGCTCTCAAATTCAAACAGGGACCTTGGCTGCTTGGTGTAAGGGGCCAGGCAACACTTTTTGGCATGATAAAGATAACTACAATAGTAGTAAGTTAGGGGCTACATGTAAGAGTATAGTAGCATCAATACCTGCATTATGAGGATACACATCCCAACGGTCCCGAGAACATGCTTATTATCCTCAAACCACATTTTAACTTTCTCGTAACAACCCTGAAAGAGAAAAAAAATTCTAAGTCTTGCCCATTTCTTGTGTGCACTTAAAAAAAAAAACCCCCAAGTTAAACTGAGCAAGCATTACCGTTTTCCACACTAAATCAGTAGAATTCCGTCCACAATCTTGGGAATTTTCCATACAGCATCGGTCTGGGACGACGTTTGTCCCCAGGACAGGGAACCAATCAGTATAATCAGTAACCCCACAGCAATGCATCTACAGGCAAAGTAAAAAAAGGACCATAAACAGTCTTCACCAACAAATTTTTTAAGAAGTGTTACTTCTCTTAACCCACTGTTGGTTTCTTCACATATACACCTCATATTTTGCACTTAGATACCACCTCTCACCTGGAGATCACAAAAAGCATTGACAAATATTTAATGCATCTCACAAATAGCCCTGTGTGGAAAATAAGTTTTATTATATCCATTTTAGACACACACAAACCAAGACATTGGAACCTGTGACCACTAAGTCAATGGCATACCTGGGAGTGGAAGCCAGTAGTCCTGAACTCCCATATCTCTGCTCTAACCACTAGAAAACAGTCTGCCAACCAAAACCTCTTCTGCAACCACTTTCACTTAAACCCAGAGTCTTTGCTACTTTAAGATCCCAGGTGGCATTTCAGGATTTGTGATTGTAATCCTAACACATCAACTCCTTTTCTTCCTTTATCATTCCTATACAGATCATAACCTCCTCTAGTGGTATTTCTGTCACATAGCTAGTCCCAATGGATCTCATGAAGAACATCTTACTTTTATACAGCACCTTTCATCCCAAAGAAAAGGTCTAGGCACTTTATGAATGTAAAGTGATATACAAATATCTGACTGGTATCAAATCATGTACTTGCCAGTTATGGGACAAGACAGAGAAAATATTGTTAACAAAATGATGTCCAGCTAATTTTTTTTAAAATAAAGAAAATGTGTTACCTCTGCCTGAATGATATTCCATGCGTTCTTCAGCCCCACATTATTTTCTGTATTGTAAAGCTGAAGACCTTCTTTCAAATCCTTCTTTGCATTCTCATTGACCTATTTCCCATCAAAACAAAACACAGCCAGCACTGGTTAAAGGGCAGTATCCCACATGTAGACTTGTAAACATACACTGCCTTTACCACCCTGGGATGTACATTTTGACAGATATCTCACCTGAACATCATTGAGCAGAATCCCCACCTTTAGACCCAAACTCCATTTCACTTTACAATGCAAGGTGTTTGCTGTGGATGCCAATTGCCTGTGAAGCTCTAGTTTTCCTCCTTGCCCAATTCTGGATTTAGTATTGATTGAATTCTTTTGAAGTATGGACGTGTAACAGAAAAGCACAGAGAGGAACCAAGCAGCCTCCTCTCTGCTAATGACTGAGCGCATGTTGGGGTAATAATTTGCCATTTTTTTTTCCATTTAAAAAATGTATGGAGGTGGGAGGGGGGGTGAAGAAGGTGACAGACAACATGTGCCACCTCCATAGACATGTGCTACATAATCACATGCAACATGCATGTTGTGCACACACGTATAACAACAACATTACGCTTCTCTTCACTGTAGATTTAACTCAAGTTATTACTCGAGTGTTGCCTCTATCTTGAGGGCCATCTACACACAAAACCCAATAACTCAAATGTGGTGGTGTTTTTCACTCGAGTTGGCTGGTCCATGGGGCCAGGAGGGGGAATAGGCTACAGCGGGCGTTAGTACAGCTTGTCAGCTGCTAACACAGTCGCTCTGTGCTGTGAATCCAAACACTCTGTGAAGCTTGTGTGTTATTTTGCAGTGTGACTGCTCTCCCTCGAGCTAGCCTAACTCGAGAGGAGTTAACTCAAGCATACGTAAGTTGAGTTAAATCTGCAGTGAAGTTAGACACAACCATGTCCAACTACAAAATTCAACATTCTTTCCTACCAAGAATCAGAGTCTGAACTATTTCATTTGTTAAGGTCATAAAACCCGAGAGTCCCAGCCTCACTGTAATAATTTGCGCCTTTTAGCTGTACATCTCAAAGTGTTTCATAATCATCAATAAACGAATCAGCATACGAAGCCATGGGAGAGAGGGAAATATTATCATCCCCACTCTACAGATAGGGTACATGAGGCACAGAGAAGTTAAGGCCAAGATTTTCAAATGTGTCCATGAATTTCAGGGGCCAAAGTTTATGGGTGTCCAACTTGACTCCCTTACAGCCTGATTTTCAGGGATGCTGAGCACCGGAAGCTCCCACTGTCTTCAAGCAGAGCTGTGAATGCCTAGCACCTCTGATAAAAAGGAGGTCTCAAGTTTTATATCCAAATAAATGGACAGCTTTGAAAACATGGATCCAAACAACTGGCCCATGATTTCAGAGGGAGACAGTGACTGAGCTGAAATTAAACACACGAGTCCCAAACTACAATGGTCAAATATGCGACAAAACCCATTTCACCCTGATTTCATTAAATTTAGAAAGGCTATGTCTGTGCTGCAATCGTGGGATGTGAGTGGAGCTTGAGTAGACATACCCAAGCTAGCTTTCACCTTGCTAGCTACGATACTGGAGCAATGAACCCAACTTCCCCGGAAGGGTTCTGAATCTTTCTGAAGACCTTGTGCATCAAGGTAAGCTCAGGTTCCAAATGTTCCTGCCCCCAGGACTCCATCCACAATTTATCAGATGCTAGCTTGTGCTTGAGAACTTCCAATCTCTCATGTCTTCTGGGCTAGCCAGTAACCCCCTCCCAGTCTCTTCAAGGGATGACTGGCTGGCTTGTTACAGTTAGGCTCTAGAAGGCAGCCAGATGATCCGCTCCCTGCTATCTTCTGTCATTGTATGAGGCCAGTAAGGAAGATCTGCTCCTCTGAATACCCAGGATGTCCTTAGGGAGCAAGCTGCCTGCCTATCACCCACTCAACAGCAGCAGTGTATCTGAAAAGGTTTCAGCATGCCCTGGCACTGCAATGCACACTCACCCCATTCTGGCTAGGCAGAATGCAGCATGCTAGCAGGGAATGTGGGGACTATGGGGGTGAGAAAGGGGCTTGTCTTTCCACTTCCCTGCCTGTGAAGACAGAAGGTGGTGAGAATGTGAGAGCTGGCCTGAAGAAGCCACTGGGGAGGTTATCCAGCCACTCTCTGCGACATTGGTGATGAAGGGGGAGGGTTGCGAGAAATTAAACTTCACAAGGAGACAGCAAAAAGCTCAACTGTGGAGACTGCAGGCCTACGAGAGAGGGGCAAAATGGAGGTCCCAGCTTTTGGTTTCAGCTGGAAACTGCAAAACTCAACAGCTCTGCCTCAACCCACACAGAGAACCCTTCCACCTTAATCACTCATTACTCTCAGCCAACATGCGGAGGAGGCACACATAAAAATGAAGATCACAAGGTTAAAACAATTTCCATTGAGAAGAGTAAGAAGAATCTAAGCATCTTGGTTTAGCAAAAGCAAACAAAAACCAGCTTAGCTGCCAGGACTGATAAACTAATCTACGGGGTATATTTGCTTACCTTGTCCATATAAACAAAGAACAAAATGAGTAATATCAGCTCTGCCAGGAGAATTATCAGCAAAATGATGAAAAACTAGAACAAAGAGAAACAAAACATGTATATACACTTCCTGAATAAAGAACAAGTTCAAGCACGCTAGACAAGTGGCCTTGACAAACCAGCTTTAAAACACAATTTCTGCAGTGCAATACAGACGGGGGTGTTACAGGAAACCCATGAGAATCTCAAATATTTCATGTGAAAATCATGATGGTTGAGAGGGCTGCTCTCAGCTATTTGCCCTACACAGAACTTTTTTATGCAGCATATATTTCACATCATTTTCCCACTGATGAATTATCCCTTCCATAATCTAGCCATCCATCTGTTATCCATTTGGGAACCCACAGAACTCATCATTTCAAAGAACTTCATGAGCATTTTAAACATTACTTAGTAGGCAGATGATATTCAGTACATATATATATACATATACATATGTAAATATATTTTATAGTCTGCGATAGTTTGCAATTTAAATCCCAGGAACATATCCTATCCTTTACTCCCCCTACCTCTTCCCAACCTGAAGCAAAATTTACAAATTAGATTTCAAATTACAAAAGTATATCAATGATATTATTATTCTCCATAACTTCTGCACTATTGTATTTCAATTTTCCCAGCCTAAGCTTTCACTAGACAGGGGTTCAAGCCTAGCTGATGTCCTCCCCCTTCCAAGTGTAAGGGCTGATCTACACTGAAGCTGTAAGTTGACCTAAGTTATGCTATTTCAGTTACAAAAGTTACGTAACTGAAGTTGACATAACTTAGGTCTACTTTCAGCGGTGTCTACACTGCTCTGTGTCGATGGGAGGTGCTCTCCCACCGATTTACCTTCTGCCTCTTGGGGAGGTGCAGTACAGACATCGACGGGAGAGCGCTCTGCCATCAATTTAGCTTGTCTTCACCAGACCCACTAAATCGACACTGCTGCATCGATCACAGCAGTGCCGATTTAGCCAAAAGTATAGACAAGCCCTAAGTATAAACCTGTCTTTAAGTGATGTTTATGTAGGGTGACCAGATGTCCTGGTTTTATAGGGACAGTCCCGATATTTGGGGCTTTTTCTTATATAGGCTCCTATTACCCCTCACCCCCTGTCCTGATTTTTCACACTTGTTGTCTGGTCACGCTATGTTTATGTCACACTGGTTTCATCTCTTGACTGTGCAGTTCACTGGAGCATAGACAGAGAAAGCAGATAATTCCAGCATATTCCTCAGTATGTTCATCAAAGTAAACCCAAACAAAAAACCTACTACCAGAAAGATAAATTTCCCCTGGTGCAGGAACAAATTCCCAGCAGATAAACTTTAACTGCATTTGACTATTTTTTTGTGTGCAAAAATTATATTTTTCAAATAAGGATCTCAAAGCACTTTTCAAATCTTAGTATTAGTTTGCAGCAAATCACTATGGTATGTCTATACTGCGATCAGTGTGATTGCAGCATGTGTAGACACACCTGAGTCAGCTTTGATTTAGCTAGCTTGAATAATAATAGCAGTAAAGCCACAGCAGCACGAGCCCTCGGTATGTTCTCCAGCTGCCATGGCTTCACTGATATTCTTATTTGAGCTAGCTAGATCAAAGCTTGCTCGGGTATATCTCTATGGGCTGTAGTCACACTTCTGATGGCAATGTAGACATACCCTACTGTGGATCTAAACATGCTCAGTCATGGGAACACACTTACCCACTCTGGTTGCTTCCCAAAGTGTGAGCTCTAGTATTTGTTACTACTTTTATTGACCAACAGAGGTCTCAAATGCACCAACAGACCAGACACATCCAGGGTTTTAAGGGCAGTATGGACAAGGGTGGCATTTTTGTAGAAATTTTGGTGGTACCCAGAACCCGCCCCTGCCCAAACTCCACCCTCCCCAAACTCCGCCCCCCCCCCACCTGCCCAAGGCTCTGGGAGGAAGTTTGGGTGAGGGAGGTGGTCTGGGGTGCAGTCCCTAGGCTGGGGCAGGGGATTGGGGTGCAGGCTCTGGGGAGGGAGTTTGGGGATGGGAGGGGTGCAGGGGTGAGGGCTATGGGGTGTGGCTGCAGATGAGGGGTTTGGAGTGTGGGAGGGGCTCAGGGCGAGAGTAGGGTGTGAGGGCTCTGTCTGGGGCTGGCAGTGGGGGGTTTGGGGTGTGGGAGGGGCTCAGGGCGAGAGTAGGAGTGTGAGGGGTGAGGGCTCCAGCTGGGACTGGGGATAAGGTGTTTGGGGTGCTGGAGGGGCTCAGGGCTGGGGTAGAGGGTTGAGGGTGTGGTGTGGGGGTGAAAGCTCTGGCTGGGGGTGTGGACTCTGGGGTGGGGCAGGGCTGGGGATGAGTTTGGGGTGCAGGCAGGCTGCTCTGGGACAGGGGCCAGAGAGGAGGACTCCCCCCAGCCCTTTCCCTGCCAGCAGCAGCAAGCTCTGGGGAAGGAACCCCCCTTTCCTGCCCCCCCAGCAGCACACTGTCACTGCATGTGCTCCTAGGGCCCCTCTCAGGTCCAGGATTCTCCCTCTCCTCCCCGTGGTGGGTGCCAGGGGGTGCTGTGTGCGCCTCCTCTCCTGCTGTTGCCCCCTGACTGTAGCCTCACTGGGGGTGAGGGATGGGGCTGCCTCCTTGCCCAGCATGGGGCAGGAGCGGTGACTGTGGGTGGGGGGGGTGAGGGTGTGCCCTGTGCTGCTGAAGGGTCCTGCCGGAAAAGGGAAGGGTTTGAGGGGGAAGGGCAGGCTCAGAGTCAGTCTGCCCTGGCAGTGGAGAAGGGGGGCACTAGGACTCTGCGACAGCAGTTGCTGCAGGGAAGCAGCATGGAGGAGACAAAGACAGAGATGCTCTGCTTCGGGCCAGGAAGGCAGGAGGGCAGCAAGTCGGGGCCACAGGACACTCGGGGGAGGGGCGGCAGGTGGGGCCGGGGGGGACACCCGGCCCCAAATATTGGTGGAGCTGGGCCCCTGGGTTCTGAATATTGCTGGTGCCCGAGCACCACGTGGGTATGGAACTCGCTGCCTATGAGTATGGACTACAGGGGTGTGAAGGCACCCCTGTACAGATGCTGTGGGTGCGAAGTAAGAGGTTTCTAGTTTGCGTTAACTAGGGTTACTATACGTCCGGTTTTTCCCGGACATGTCCGGCTTTTTGGTAATCAAACCCCCGTCCGGGGGGAATTGCCAAAAAGCCGAACATGTCTGGGAAAAATACCGCTGGCCGGGAACTTCCCCTCCCGCGGCTGCTGTGCTCCCTACCTAGACTCTGCGGCTCTGTTTAAGAGCCAAGCTGCTCGAGCGCTCCGGCTTCGGGCAGCCCCCTTGCCTCCAGACCCAGAGCCGCCGGCCGGGCACTTCCCCTCCCGGGCTCCAGGGGCGCAGGGTCCAGAGGCATGGGGGCTGCCCTAAGCCGGTAGCGCTCGGGCAGCTCGGCTCTTAAACAGAGTCGGGGAGGAGCACAGCCGCCGGAGCCCGGGAGGGGAAGTGCCCGGCTGGGGGCGCAGGGTCCGGAGGCATGGGGGCTGCCCGCTGCCCGGCAAACTGTGAAGCCGGTAGCGCTCGGGCAGCCCTTTTCGCGTGGCTGGGAGGGAGGAGGGGGAGTTAGGGCGGGGACTTTGGGGAACGGGCAGAGAAGGGGCGGAGTTGGGGCGGGGCCAGGGCCCGTGGAGTGTCCTTTTTTTATTTTTTAAATATGGTAACCCTACGTTAACATAGTCCTCTTCCAACAAGACTACAGTAACGTGAAGTAGGAACATTTTCGCTTGCACCCACAGCATGCACACAGAGTACACCTCTACCCCGATATAACGCGATCCGATATAACACGAATTCGGATATAACGCGGTAAAGGAGCGCTCCGGGGGGCGGGGCTGCGCACTCTGGCAGATCAAAGCAAGTTCGATATAACGCAGTTTCACCTATAACGTGGTAAGATTTTTTGGCTCCCGAGGACAGCGTTATATCGGGGTAGAGGTGTAGTTATAATGCAGCACTTTGGTGCATGTGACTATTCATGCCCCATTGTCCGAACGGTGGAGCAGTGTAGACAAGCCCTTAATCCCTTTGTTATTACCTTCTGAGGCAATTTCAAAACATAAAGAGACAATGGCAAATAGTTTTTAGCAATACATTTAGATTTTGCATTTTAAAAATGAATTCTAATATTAAGAGAAATATTTTTTTTTAAATTTCAGCAGAGAGGATTTGTTTAAAAAGGAAACATTTCTCTACACCATTAGAAACACAAACAGCAGCACTGCAGCTAACTGTATGAGTCTTAGAGAGTAAAATTAACCAGTCTGTTTTCACTGCCTAAGCTGAATGAAACACAAAAAATAAAGAAACAGCATAAATAGAGAAGAGTAAATTATATCTGCACATTTCCCCCAATTTTAATAACCTGAAGTGATGTTAAGCAACATAGGTAGATTTTATTAAAGAACTTTTTTTTTAATAAAAAAATTCACATTTATATAACAACATCACTGCCCCTTGGACTTAGGAACCCCTAAATAGCTTGGAACCTGGCTCTCTCCTCACCTGAAGATATTGGACTTCCAACCAGCAGAAGCGACTAAGCTGGAGTCCTATTGGTTTAAACAGGAAGGGGCTGCCGGCAGAATCTAGAATTCACTTGCCAGTTTAGGCCCACCAAGAGTCCAGAATTATTAACCTGCATGGCCCAGTGGAGATCAGAAGTGTTGACTTTTGGGGCACAGTGTATTTCCTCGGCCTTTGAAAAGGGGAAGGGTAAAGACTGATGGTGGATTATTGGAGTAGTTATCATTAATGCTTCCAGGACAATTCTTCTAATGTTGAAATTTCTGGATGAATTGCTTGCCTGGCAGTTGTTTTGTGCTTAACTGTACACTGAGGATTGTTCCTGGTTTGTATTTCATATTTAATTTATTGTAGTACCTAGACAGGGGGAAATGTTTATAAAAATAAATAAATCTAGTGACATATTTGAATAAAACCAAGCAGTAGTATCATTCCACTATATAACTATCACTACCCAATTCCAGAGGAGGAGGATTTTTAAATTACCCTAGGAGTTTAATAGAGAATACCTGCTACAGAATTACATACATTGGTTTTAAAAAGTCAATAGAAACATTATTCCCTAATATGTTCTTTCCCATACAGGTCACTTTTAAAGTAAGCAGTGAAGTAGGAGTGTGTATCCATGGTAAAGATCTTCATTCACAGAGTCATAGATTCCAAGGCCAGAAGGGACCGCTGTGATACAGGAGGTCAGGCTACTGGCTAGATGATAACACAGGCCATAGACTTTCCTCAAAAATATTTCTGTTTGATCTACAGCATATATTTTAGAATTTAAAAACTGTCAGTGATGGAGAATGCACCAAAACTCTTGGTAAATTGTTCCAATGGTAAATAACCCACACTTAAAAATGGACACCTTATTTCCAGTACAGGGGACTTACACTTAAAAGGAGGCACTTGTTTTCCTTGATAGCACCCAGACACCCCAAAAAGCCAGTCACCATGATGATTGTACCAATGGCAATGACAAGGTTGGCAGCCGAAAATGATGGAAAGCTGGGAGAAAATGTGGCGAAGTTTCCTTGTGACACCGATAGCCATATTCCCACGCCCAACAGTCCACAGCCACATAACTGCAAAGAGAGAGAAAGGCAGAAGCCAACATTAAAAAAGGGGAATATTTCAGTTTCCAAACAGGAAAGTAGTTTGTGGGTTTTAAACGAGTTAAGTGATCAGCCGTAACACTTCATTGCTTGGTGCTAAAAGAATGTGAAATTCAATTTCTGACCTGCAGAATTGCCTTACCCTAGGTTACCACTCAAAACAAACATACGGCAGGGTTCTCGCTCTCTCTTTTTAAGGATTAATGAGCAAATCCTACCATTGCCCCTGCAGTGGGGCTCCAGACAGTGGAAGAAGGTGTAGTTTTGATGCACAAGGGGAAGAACAGAATTTGAGGGAATGATACAGGGATGCACGTACCCTCTGCTCGTGTATGGAGCCCCATTCCATGGGGGCTCCCGCGTGGCAGCACACAAGGAATGGAGTCTGTGCAGCCACACCCTACCTTCATCCCCATGAGCTGGGGAGGGAAGGTCTCAGAGGCAATTGCAGTCATCATCATTCCCTGCCCTGAGGGAAGAATTTCTTCCCTACCCTTCTGCCCCAGCGCTTGGTCATACTATTCAGGCTGGATCTAGGATTTGGCCTGTGTGACCTCATTGCTGCCCCATTGTCTTTTATGAGGCAAAAATCAGATTCCTAAATGGATGACCTATGAGGTCAAAGTCCTAGTAATCTGTCCCAGTGAAGGACTCTGACTATTGCCAAGGAGAATACAAGGTTATTAATAAGTAAATACAAAATTAATAAGCCTTTGGTTTTCATTCTTAACAATTTTACATCAGGTTCAGGAAATGTGTCTCTCCACCCCCATTGCGTGTGTCAGGGGACAGCAGCCAACTCCAAATGTTCAGGAAGCTCACGGCATCACAAGTTATTTTAGCACAGATTCAAAATGGCTGCCCCTGCATCCTGATACCAAATGTCTACCTGTGAACATGTGGGATGCCCAAACAAAATGGCAATACAGTATTTGCAGGCAGTTTTCTGCAGTACTTCATGCAGCTAGCTCTCACTGGCATTGAAGGTGAATTTCCCATTGACTTCAGTGGGAGCAGGATTGAAGAGAACCCCAAACTAGAAGCACTGTGCAGTCATCAAACCATGACAATTGTAGGAAGGAGAAAACCACGAAGCATTAATTCCAGTAATGCACTAGCACTTGCTGCTGTTTATCTGTCAGCTACAGCAAAGCGCCAGAGCACTTCTCAGCAATTGGCCAAGTTCTGCCTCATCCGGTGTCCAGCCTCATTGCCATGTGCATCCTGCACTGGGCAACAGCTGCACTCAGACCGGGACTCTCCAGCTGAGTAGTTAGTAGCAGAACTAAGCTCCGGCTCAGGCCTGCAAGGGGCTGAGCATTCCGGCCCTGATCCAGCACAGTGGAAAAGAACATGCTTAACTTTAGCCATGTGAACAGTCCCATTGATTTCAATGGCATTAGTCATGTGCTCAAAGTTAAGCGTGTGTGTAAGGGCTTTTGCTGGATGAGGAGCCTAGGCTCAGCTGGAAACTGCTCTTTGTGCATCTGCCACCTTACTGATTGCAGGAAAATAACTCCTGAAATAACAAACGTTCGGGGTTTCAGAGGAGCCCTGTTTTGACCTCTTCTGATGAGAGAAAATGCCGTTCATAGGGAGGAGCAGAACACAAGCCAGAGAGAGAGAACCTTTTGCTCAGCTGGAATAACTGTTTCAAGACACGCTGAGAGTCTGCAGGGGACTATTTAGAAAGGTCCTCAGGTCTCAGCATGCTCTCCTCTTTTATCGACTGCACATGTTTCACATTTAAACACAGAAGTTCATGAGGAAAATCACTTAATTCAAGGTAAAGCTACATTTGCAATCTGAACCCACGGAATTGCTGGCACTCAAATATCTTAGTGATTCACGTAGTATAAACTCACTAGACAAAGTAAATTAGATTAAATATTGAAACCCATCTAGCCATCTGATTTTCTAAATCTATTAGTATGTTACCCTTAAGATGGCTATAACTTAAAGAGATGAGAGAAAAATAGATTATTTAATGTATTATTACTACATTTATTGGTATTTTTCTCTGTTTTTCTCATTTTGTTTTCTGTGTGTGTTTGACAACACTTCATATGTAGTCATATGTTCCCCTGTTTTGCTGATGATCAGTTGCACATCTCATCTTATGCACCAGCACAATATCATCCCTCTCATGCACTGCTGTGGTGGATGGAGCATATCCTAACACACACTTTTCTCCCAACTCTGCATACATGGGGCCTGTCGGTAACACCAGCAGCAAATATTAAACAAACCAGTGATGAAGAGTCAGTTGACCATCAGGGGCGGCTCCAGGCACCAGTGCACCAAGCGTGTGCCTGGGGCGGCAAGCCGCGGGGGGCGGCCTGCCCGTCACTGTGGGGGCGGCAGTCAGGGAGCCTTCGGCGGCATGCCTGCGAGAGGTCCGCCGGTCCCGCGGCGGGTACGCCGAATCTGCGGGACCAGCGGACCTCCCGCAGGCATGCCGCCGAATCCGCGTTACCAGCCAGACCTCCCGCAGGTGCGCTGCCGAAAGCCGCCTGACTGCCGTGCTTGGGGCGGCAAAATACATAGAGCCACCCCTGTTGACCATTGTGTGCACAGAAAAGAAGGGAATGGGAGGAAGGATGGGCCCAAGCAAGTTTGGTGGTGTTGCTGCTGGGCCCTTTAGGGCCCTTCTAAACATCAGCAGGGGAGCAGGAAAAAAATCACTTCAAATTAAAACTATTTTAGGACACACTGTTTTAAAGGGTGCTACAGCAGAAAAATGTAGCTTATTGAAATGACTGTCCCTTTCAGAGATCTGAAAACATTTTAAACTCCTTACACTAGGTATGCACTGACTTTGTCACGTGTGCTGCTGGCTTTTGCGTTCTGTTGTGATTTGGACTCATTGTATAAACCTTCATGATAACTGTTTCCTAAAAAATAGTTTTGAAAATGCTTTATCACTCCCCTTTCCTGGCACAGCAGCATGGGAAATGCAAGCTCAGAGTATGAGAGAGAAGGGGGTAAAGTGAGGCACAAATTTCCTCCTCCCATACTGCGACAGGGCCGATAAAAATCACTAACTCCCATCCAGTAAAGATCTCATCTACTTTGTCCTTGAATCTCTGCAGTTATGGTGCCTTAACCACCTCTCTCAGGAATCTGTTCCATGGCGCAGCTGCTCCGATTGTTAGATGAGAACTGCAACCATTTGTTCAGGCTGGGAGTCTGAAAGTTCACAGGGTGAGGAGCACCTCTCACCCTGCAAAAGGCATTTAAGTTTTTAATTACAATTGGCATTTCTAAGCTTTGGTGGGCCCGTGTCGTTGAAAAGAGATTTAGTTTAAACCAATAGTAACATGGGACCCAATGGAAAGGACTGTCAATTATTTATTATGGAAAAGAACCAAATATTTAATTTTTAAATAGTAAACACTGAAGCTTTTCTTCAGGGGGTTGAAATCAACATGAAAAGCAAGTGCGACGCTTGTTTGCAGTTACCGCTGCAGGGCTCTCCTACTGCCAGTGTCTATACGGCCACATTCAGCACTAGGCTGAGAAACAGTCATTGTCATTAAACATTTAAATATATTTCAGAGACTGGCCGAAAATTTAGGAGTCTTCAGCACAGAGAAGATCGCTAAATTCATGGAAATGGATACGGCTGCCATGGTGGACTGGAGAAGAGAGGAGAATGGGGTCTAGGACAAAACCTTATGGGAAGCCAACAGATTGAAGGAGAAGGAAGAATAAGCAGCCTTCAGAGGAGATGGCAGTAGTGTCAGGAAGAGAACAAGGAGAGCACAGAGTCATGGAAACCGCAAGCATATAGGAAGAAGTCGGAGGAGAGGAAATCTAGGCAATGGAAGTGAAAGCACACTCACAGACCATACAGATGAAGGAGAGGAGGCAGATAATACAGGATAGGAGCTGAAGAGTCACATGGGGCTGAAGGAAGGTTTGTTTCAAATCTGGGCTATAAAGTGTCCTTGCAGATGAATGGAAAGGAGCAAGTGGAAAGACAGGGGAGATGACAGGGGCATCAGACATACTGAAGGAGGGCATGAGATGAGGGACTAGGTAAACAGTAGATGATAAAGGAAGACCTCAGAATCAGGCACGAGAGTAGAAGAGGAGAACAATGAAGAGCAGAGGGAAGGAGGAATGACACTCCTGCCAGCGACATTTTTATTTTTGAAAAATCTGACTAAGATCCTGGGTAGAGGTGAGTTCAGAAGAGAGGGGCAGGTAGGCAGGGCCAGATTAACGCAGGGGCTGGGGGCTGCAGCCCGGGGCCCTGGCCTAAGGGGGGCCCCAGCGAGCTGGGCTCAGGCAGGCTGCCTGGCACGTCTCTGTGGCCCCTGGGGGGGGGAAGGTGGCTCCACATGCTGCCCCCACCCCCAGCACCGTCCCCAGGGGCGGCGCTTGCGGGCACAGGCAGCACACGGAGAAACGCTGTCCCCCTCCTCCCGGGGGGGCAGAGACGTGCCAGCAGCAGGCCACTTCCGGGAGTGGCGTGGGGCCACAGCATGCAGGCAGGCTGCCTGAGCACCCCCCTGCGCCACCGGCTGGGAGCTGCCTGTGGTAAAGACCTCCCAGCTGGAGCCTGCACCTCGCATCCCCTCCTGCACCCCAACCCCCTGCCCCAGGTCAGAATCCTCTCCTGCACCAAACTCCCTCCCAGAGCTCACACCCCCTCCTGCACCCCAACCCTTTGCCCCAGGTCAGAATCCCCTCCTGCATCAAACTCAGTCCCAGAGCCCGCACCCGTCACCCTCTCCTGCACCCCAACACACTGCCCCAGTCTGCAGCCCCCTCCTGCTATCAAACTCCCTCCCAGAAAGAAACTACACCTCTACCCCGATATAAC